AATTCTCTATTCTCCAAAAAGACGTTGCACTCGTTTTAAAACACTATCTTTCTCCGGGTCTGAGCTAGTTTTATTAACTAAAAACAAATTAGTTTATTTATTTATTTTAATAAAACTTATAAATATAAAAATTATTTGTTGGCTTATATATTTAAAATTAGCTATCAATTTTTATAAAATTACTTTATTTGTATAATATTCAAATAAATATTTGAATATTTGTTTAAAATTTTTGAATATATATTCGAATACTAAAAAGATTAAACAAATGAATATTTGAATATTTATTTTTGACCGAGTTAGACCTCCCTATATTTAGGAATATCTGTAGTAAACCTCCGGCAGCGCAGTTCCTAGAGTAAATGCATTCGCACATATAATTATATAAATACAAGAATTGACATACCAAAATTTTTACGTATAGCAATCTGATTTATTACTTATGCAAGACAGATAAATTGTGCTCACGTCTTTATATTTGTAGTGACTCAAGGATCGAATTTAGAGTCTATCTTTGAAAGCTTTATCAACATGAATTCATCATAGAAGTCGATTAGCGAAATGCTCTTTCAATTCATAAGATTTAGCGTCATAACATTTAGCGTTATCAATATTTTAAGAGAGCAGGTATTTCCACACCCATTTTTGGTATTTCCACACCCTTAGGTCATATGTATATTACATCGCGTTATAAATAAAATATCATTTGCAATGGTGTGAAAATACCACACCCTACTTTAAATTCATTAAGATCTCAATAGTGTGTTAATTTATTGAATGTATCATTAAAGAATTTTGAAATAAAAGTCACATATATAAATGTATATGAATAATCTTTTCGTGTAGCGGTAATGAAATAAATTCGATCAAGAAATAGTTCTCGTATAAATCGGAATCTTTCAAGACGTAAAATTGATATAAAATCACTTGGCAGTTTTTGTTTTTTGTATTTTTTTTTTTTTTTTTTGACATTTATTAGAAAATTGTTTTTTTTTTGAGTTTTCTCGCGATAAAATTTACAATTATTCGATATCTCGAATTTAAATTGGATGACAAAATTTCTAATTACTATTTGTGAATTCACAACTGACAACACTCGATTCTTAATTCCAATTAGATGACACACATAATTACAAATTGCATGTTAAAATAATTACAAAGAAATTAAAATGCAAGTAATATCGTCATATACTTGACTAAAATCCTTAAATAACGTGGTATATTTCTCCCGACTACCTATTTTTTTAACAACGTTCATGACAGATTCTCCATTGTCCAATAAGCCACCAATAAATTTAGCGACTTCATTGTTCTGTTCATCTATTCTTGACTCTTTTAAATGGTCAAAAAGCCCATCACTGCTTATCAATAAGAATCTATCACCACCATATTTACCCAACTTTCTAAAAGTAACATCTGGAATACAATCAATAACTCTTCTAGAGCGATTTAATTTGAAAAGTAAATCACCACAGGTCGCAGCAACATTAATCGACCAATATTTTCCAGTTTCATTTATGTAGGGAACACCATCTTCATTTTCATCTTCTTGCCCTTGGAGTCTAATACGCGCGTTCTTTAAACTTGGTCTAGTGCGACGTTGTCTAGGAGTAGGATCAAACTTAATTGGATCATCATTACTATCAACAAATATGCCACCATTCGAATATATTTTCAAGGCAAGGCGTTCAAGATAAGGTTTATGATCTTCACTCGCGAATTCTACAGACCATTTATTGTTTTTGCCTCGACAAGCAAGAAAGGTTCGTGAATCACCAACATTAACATTGATTAACCAATCATTAATAAACACATTAATAATGATAGTTGACCCGTCATCTACTGGTGGCATTGAATCAGAATCACTTTGATCATTTATAATAAAATTTTCATCTACAAATGGTATTGAACCTTGTTTTTCTCTCTGATATTTCCAACGACGAAATTCTACACGTTTAGCCTCAACGTATTCGTCGTCCAGTTGCCTGACGAGATGTACCATTTGTTCTCTAAACCATTGTTGTTCGTCTTTGTTATCAAAATTCGCCGGATGATCTTGTAACAGTTCTTGGATACGATTTGGCACCCTTGAAATTAAAAATTCCGAACATCCAGAACCTCCATGTCCATCCGCCAAGCAAAATAATCGTGCCATGAAGGAACCATCAGATCGCCTTAGATCTTTTACGCAAAATGCATCTTCGCATTTTGACTTTGGATATCTATTTTCACTGCGTCTAAGTCGACTAAGTCGAGAGTAAGAATAACCTGTTTCTTGAATAATTGCAAACGATTTTGGTCCATTAACTGTGTTTATATCGAAATCTATAGGTCCTTTTGTTATCATGAGTGATGACGACGATGACGACGACGACGACGATGACGATGACGATGACGACGATGAGGAACTGGGAACATCGATCCTGTAATTATTTAAAAGCATTATATTTAAAATTCGTATGAATAAAAGAAGACAAATTCAAATCATACTCATTAATTTCATTAATCATTGTTGGTTCTTCTTCTATTACGCTTTCCGGAGTACCGTAGTCTTCAGAAGGTTGGTATTTTGTACTCTTTTTTTTTAAACTTGGTTCTATTAAAAATTGGGAATCATGTTCATTATCTGTCAAATTTATAGTAGGAGACGTATTGTGACTAATTTTTATTTTCTTTGTTGTTATAACATTAACGTCAGAATCAATGGTGATTCTTTTCGTCGTACTCCGACTCGACGCTGTGGGACGAGACGGTTTCGTAGGAGATCGTTTCTTATCTTTTGCTAAACGAGGAGGATCAGGAGGAGGGGTTGGAGGTATAGTGTTCATCGAGTCTCGAATTCGTGAATCCGTAAATAAATGCAAGGAAAGACGGTAGTAAGTTAAATTCTTGATTTGATGTTTTTCGATTGGTTCCTCACAACCTCTTGATTTCGCAAGTTTCAACGCTGTAGAAATAGTGCCTTGAATTGTGGAAGTAGGAGTTTTCCCACTGTTTTTCAGCAGAAATTAGCGATTCTCGGGTCGAGTAAAAAAATGATACTATTTCGTGCCATGAATTCGACGAGGCTTAACGTACCTAAGTTGACCGTCGTTGGTAGTAAGTTTCCATCCTCGAATGCGATCTATTATATTTTATTAAGTTTTTGCAAGTGGCACCACGCGACATTTCTAAACCAATTTGGCTGCCACATGATCAAGCTTACCGACAATGTCTGGAGCTCTCATCCATTGATTACTGTTTGATAGCAAGGCCTTGACTATAGCAGCGAATATACCATTATCGCGCTGTTCTGCTTTAAGTTCAAGTCCTTGAAAAGTTCTTTCGACAGACGCTATATCTGGGGTTTGTATGTCGTGCATGCCGTTGTTAAGAAAGTGTGAAGAAATAGAATATTAAGTCTTTGATATTTATAGAGATGTTACGATAACAATCACGTGCTTAGCTATTCCTCGCACAAACCACAATAAGAAAGGGACCTGTTAAAGCCAGGTGCAATAGTCGATCGACCAATCAAATGGGGGATGTTTAAACCTATCTTGTAATATGAAATTAAAGCCGTATCTTTACCCTAAACCGACCTAAGCCTAAGATTAATTAACCACGCGAGGAAACTGAGCTTTTGTGTAATCATGTGTTTTATTTATTATCAAATATATATATATATATAACGATAAACAGATCGATTCTTTTTACTCTTAAAACTGTGGATTTTATTTAAACTTTCGATATGACTACCATTTCAACCCATAAAGACCGAAACTTTATAGCCGTCATAGGAGACGAGGTAATAATTTAATTCACAGCGATTTTTAATATTTTAAGGTTCTATTTAAACCTATTTTATGTCATAGGACTCAGTCACTGGACTTTTATTAGCTGGTGTTGGTCATGTAGATGGCGCTAATAAAAACTTTCTCGTTGTTGACTCTAGTAAAGTTATGATTTAATGCTTTAATGTTTCGCAAAGATTACCAAATAACATTTAATTTTTATTTATAGAAACTCCTCTATCAAAGATAGAGGAAACCTTTCTCGAATTTACTAAAAGAAAAGATATTGCTATAATTCTAATAAATCAACATGTTCGTTTCATTTTATCAATTCATCGTTTTTAGATAATTTTAAAAATAATGACACAATCTTTGATTGTATCAATAGATTGCAGAACATATTCGTCAATTGGTAGATGATTATGACCAGGCTTTTCCGACAATTCTTGAAATTCCATCTAAAGATCACCCCTATGGTATTTATTTTGTGTCATACAAAAGTGATTTATTACTTTTTATTTGGTGTTACAACTAATTTGAAATTGAACTACCAGACCCGGAGAAAGATAGTGTTTTAAAACGAGTGCAACGTCTTTTTGGAGAATAGAGAATTATACAATATGGACTATGAATATTTATTATATACCATGTTTTTTTTTTATGTCTGTATTTTAATATTCGATTTTATACATTCCACTCTTATACATGTTTGGATTAAATTATTTTCATAATTAGCTATTATTATATTGTCTATTTATGAATACAATTTTTTTTTTTTTTTTTTTTATCAAATTCATAATAGCATGTGTTTTTTTCATTTAGTGATATAAATACAAGTATTACGAATTGTTTTTATTCCAGAGGAATGCCTTCATATTCATCATATCCAAAGGCAAGGTTAATATTCTGAATTGTAAAAGTCAAGTTAATTTATCAAGAAACGTGAGAACAATAAAAAATGTAAGATAATTCCAGTTCAACAAACCTGTAAAGCTTGAGTAGCAGCACCCTTCAATAAGTTATCAATAGTTGTTATGATTACAACTCTTTTACCCGATGAATGTACACCGAATCCACCAATTTTCACAACATGTTTTTTAGAAATATCTTTTACAAGTGGTACATCGTCCGCAACTTTGATGAGTTTTTCTTCTGCATATTTTTGTTCGTATAACTCGCGTATTTCCGCAGATTTGAAAGTTTTTGAGAGGGGAATATTGACAGTTAAAGTTATTCCTTGGAAGAAAGGTGCGACATGTGGGATGAAATTTACGGTTCTTCCTAAATGATGTGAAATTTCTCGTTCATGAATATGATCTGTGAGAGAATATGGTATCATATTATTCTCGAGAAATTTAGGATCATTTTTAGGGGATGGTTTGGTTCCAGCACCAGAATATCCAGATACACCAAAAATGGTAGGAGTCTCGGATATGTATGGTAACAACGGTGCTATGGAAAGTTGAGATCCAGTGGCATAACATCCAGGATTTGATATTTTTGTAGATTTACGAAAGGTTTCACGATTACCAAGTTCTATAGAAAATTATTAAGGTTTAAAATTAACAAATTAATAAATTAATAAATGAAACAAATGAAAAAAATTTTCGATTTCTTACCGGGTAGACCGTATGTCCATTCATCGTTGAATCTATGATCAGCGCTTAAATCTACAATTAAACTTTGTTCGGTTTTGGCTTCATTAACAGCCTGCACAAATGGCGCACATACACCATTTGGCAAAGCCATTACCCAACAATCAACTTCACCATTTTTTTGCATATCTTTTATTTGTTCAGCTTTCAAGTTTACATATTTGATTTTTTCTTTAGAATAACCAGAGAGCTCCTGACCTTCCAATTCACGAGAAGACACGTGAGATAATGAAACATGTGGATGATTGTTTAACAATGATACAAAGTTTTGGCCAGTGTAGCCACGTGCACCGATAAGAGCAACTTTTGCCGATGATGTAGAGGTAGCATATTGACGACGTAATAGAGTTGACATTGAAAATGCATTATTATTATGTTGATTAGATCGAGCGAAAGTGGAGAAACTTCTGGTGACATTAGCGAATGCACGACCCGAAGATGGTGGAGTAGTATTCGTGTCGAATAGCGTAGAAGCAAAATCTTTAACCGCGGCGGAAACATCTTCGACATTTATACCATACCAAAACAAAGTTTTTCCATTTATTGTATAGCTACCATCTGATCTAGAAAAGTGCCAAGCCTTATTTTCATCACGATCATCCACAGCCCAAAGTAACCGAGGATTATCATTTTGGATGATTTTCCATATATTGTCAATTATATTACTTAATACGCTATTTTTTGTAGCAATGAATTTCTCAAGAAGAGGAATAGAATTCGGATTAGTTTTTTCTTTGGTAACAATCGCCAAAACATCATAAGGTTCGTCACTGTAGACTTTATAAGATTTTTTGGAGAGTTTTGACATAAGATCAGAATTTGGGTTCAAGATTTTTTGTAATTTATTTTTATCCATTTCGTCAAATGAATTGAACTTAAAGAGACGGTGTCCACGACGAATTAGAGTACCAGCACCACTATCCGTGAACAGCTCTTTCGGGAGCTGTCCTACAGCTGTAATAGCTACAGATGACGATTGAGGAAGATGATCAAGAAGATCTTTGATCTCTATCAATTTCAAACGCGTTCCATATTTGACCCATTCTTGTGCCATATAATAGTCATATTCCTAAAAGAATATTATATAAAATCATGAGAAATATATTCATAATAATAAAAAAATTTAAAAATATGTAAAATACCTCATCAAGATTTATGACATCGATTTTTTTCTTAGTCTCTTCATTTATGAGACCACCTTTTTCATTAAGGTAAATAATTTTTAAAGGTTCAAGAACTTTTGCCAATTCACCAGCAGCTACATCAGCATTTACATTCAATATTTGACCAGAAGGCGTCTCCGCCAAGCTCGTCAAGATAGGTAAAGCACCTGCGTTGATACTAGCATTTACGACATTTTTATTTATTCCAGTAATTTGTCCAACAAACCCGTAACTTTCTCGGTCCAAATAATCAGCGATGAATACACCACCCGTTATAGGTCGTGCACGAGTTCCTAATTTTTCTAATGCTTCAACCAATTTAAGATTTTCTTGTATAAATATAGATCTTGCGATTTCAAGAGTTTTTGCATCGGTTATTCGAATACCATTGTTATACTGAGGTTGTATGCCAGCCTTATCTAATTCTATATTAAGTTGAGGGCCACCTCCGTGTAATACAATTGGATATAAGCCAACACGGTTTAGAAATGAAAGTGAAGAGGCGAGTGAATCTAATTCATCACTAATAACAGCACCACCAACTTTTATTACGGCAAATTTTTGAGATTCAACCGATGAAAATTGACGGAGATATTGTTCCGCTTCTTTCTTCGAACCAATATTATATAAAAGTTTTATAATTGTTTCCTAAGAAAATATATATATATAAATTTCACTTGAAACTCTTGAAATTCTTGAAACTCTTGAAAAAATAAGGTATAAATTAGTCGAACCTTTTCATTTTTTTGCACGTCAAGAGAATATAAACGACTTTGTGGTTTTGTAGGTTTTTTAGGAGCTTTCTTTCGTAGTTGTAAAGAAGGCAAACAACCCAAACGTCTTGCATTAAACAAAACAGATTTTGAAAGTACAGATTTACCAACTTTTGATATTATCATTATTAAACAATTTTTTTAATGATAAAAAAACGAAAGATGTGAGAAAATGGGATAATTTTATACATAATATGAGAGAGATTGATAACGGTAAAATATATTATGGTAATTTAGAATATATAGATAATAATGAAGTAATAAATTTAGATCAATTTAGACAATTGCGATAAAGTAATTTAAAGATATAGATCTTAATATGTAATGTTTACACAGTACATGCAGAATTAGAGATCTTGATTTAAGATAATCATGCAGGGAATTTGATCAAGAACGTTTAGTTTTAGCCTTTTTTTTTTGTGGAACAGTCACATTTGATTCATCAATCTCTTTGGTATTTTTCTTGACCTTTTTCTTTTTTTCCGATGATTTTGAATTTGTAATTTCAATTATATCATGACCTTTCACAAAATTTTTTGGAAGATTTGCATCGGCCAATGTCTGTTTGCCAACAAGACTGTATAAAAGAGCAATTTCCTTTTCGTAAATTTCAAGGTCATCATCAGGCACAGGAGTCTCTAGAATTAAAGGTATTTCATCCATACGACTATCATTCATAATTAATCTAAAAGGTTCCAAACCCAAGTAACCTTTAAATTTTTAAAATTTTTGATTAATTTATATATAGAGATGGATAGTGAAGATAATTCGATAATTTTTAATAATTCAGTACCTTTACCAATGTTTGCATGCCGATCGGTACGAGAACCTAAGTCTTTGAGAGAATCATTCAAATGCACTCCTCGTAAGTATTGAAAACCTACATGGCGAGAAAATTCATACATGGTTTCTTCATATCTTTCCTTTGTACGAAGATCATAACCCTAATTTTAAATAGGTTTGATAATAAACATTTGTGAGAACATTTGTGAGAATATTTGTGAGAATATTTGTGAGAATATTTGTAAACATTTATGATAAGCAATATTTACCGCAGCAAATGCATGGCATGTATCGATACACACGCCAATACGTTTCTTATCTTAAAAAACGTAAAAACAATTATAAAGAATGTTATTCAAGAATGTTTATAGAAAAAAGATAATTAGATATTATATCTGATATTGCATTGATACATACTTTTGACTAGTGATATTATTTTACCAAGTTCTTCAAATTTTGATCCAATAGTATTTCCGGCACCAGCCTGTGATATTGTACATATAATTTAACTTTAGCATTATAAAAATAGATAAAAAAATTAATAAAACTGGTCTACCATATTTTCAACCACACAAATGACACTTTTCGTCTCTTTATGCGCTCTATTAATACAATCAGCAATATGTTGTATAGATTCTTC